TTTGGACTTGGGATAGGAGGTGATGTGCATGCATACTTTTTTATTTGCCCATCTATTTGAACGATTTAGTTTGCCATACTTTACTGATATGTTAAATTTTCCTTCCTTCTCAAAACTGGATCAGTAAAGAATTTAATAGAAACAGAGAAATGGAGACCCTTATTCACTTTTATAAGTGATGCTGATTTTGAATTTATTGTGCAAAAACAAGCTGAATTTCAATGTGTCCTGAGATAAACTAATTCCAATCTTTACGGGAAGAAGATTCACAAATAATTAGTATTTTCAAAACCTTTCATGTATATGCTACTAGAATTTTTATCTTCTACCCTCCAGCCTTTACATACACACTTTTGCGTTGACTATTGAAAATCCTCAGATGACGAAGTAACAAGGTTATCTCAATATATTTTTGTTGGTTCCATTACAATGGATTATATATAATTGAAAAGTGGTGGTCATGACTAATGTGGGATTTCCTCATCTGCAAGATTATTTGTTGTGCTTGTAGTTATTCCGATAATTTGTCAGCTACGCCAAAGATATTACAAAAAAAAAAAATTGTCTCCAAACATCCAAATGCGATCAGCAAACAATAATAAAAGTAATCCTTTCTCAGATGCAAACTCAGAAAGTTACAGAGCCTACTTGGGGTTACCCCTCTTCTCTTACGCCGAACTCGAGAAAGCCATAAGTAACTTCGATCATTCAAGAGAACTTGGAACTGGAGGCTTTGGCACTGTTTACCATGGCAATTATTCCCTCACACTTCCTTTTTAGTGTCATTCTGTTTCTAGTAAAAAGGGTTCTTCAAAGTGATGTTTTGCCTAAGAGAGAAAGGAACTTAGTAAGAAGAGAGATCTAAAACCTTATATGGGGTCTCCTTTGACAGTTTCTATTTGAATTAGCCTAGCAACTTCATCCCTTGTTCATAATGAACTTGTGTTTTAATCTTCAATAATGACTGGGAATTCTGCAAGATAGATGAGAAGTTCCCATGAAGCATCTTTACGAATACAATTATCAGCGAGTAGAGCAGTTCATAAATGAAGTCAAGATTCTGACTCGCTTACGCCATCGAAACCTTGTGTTTCTTTATGGTTGTACTTCGCGTCACAGTTGTGAACTTCTTGTCTACGAATACCTTCCAAATGGCACTCTTTACTGTCATCTTCATGGTGAGCTAGCCAATCGTGGTCTCCTACCATGTCCTATAAGAATCAAAATAGCCATAGAAACTGCCACTGCACTGTCTTACCTTCATGCTTCAGACATTATCCATCGTGATATCAAAACCAACAACATCCTCTGAGAAAAGCATTAAGGTTGCAGATTTTGGTCTTTCAAGGTTGTTTCCCAATAATGTCATTCATGTTTCCACTGCTCCACAAGGAATCTCAGGTTATGTCGATCCAGAATATCACTAGTTACTAGCTAACTAGCAAAAGCAATGTGTAATATTACAAGGAATAAAGGTGAGATAAACTTGGCAAATCTGGCACTGAAGAAGATTCAAGAGACTGCATTTGGAGAGCTAGCTGATCCTTCGCCAAGGTTTGAGTCTGATGGTGAGATTAGGAGGATGATAATTTCAGTGGCAGAGTTGGCTTTTCAATGTTTACAAGGTGCTGCATATTCTCCATCACCGTCTTTACCAGATTGTGATGAAATTAGATTGTTGAGGAATACAAAATCATTGGCTTCATCTAAAATTGTGACTCATAATGAGTCTAGCATAGTTCGTGTGAGCGCCTAATAATTACTTTTTGTAGTTAAATTGAAGAATCATTTATATATCCTACATGATAGCAATATTAAATATTGGGAAGGAAATATGTATACCTATGTAAAATACTTGTTGATTAATTATATTTCAAATGTATTATGATGCATTTATTTATTTATTCTTTATGTAAACAATGAATGTAAGGGAGAATACAAAGGAAAAGGGCAAAAAAACAATGAGGTAAATGTTTGAGACACCATCTCATAGCGCCCTGTCATTATATAATGAATAGTATACAAAAAAAGAATATAAAAAAATTGGTACAAGATAGGGACACGTAGCTCTAAAGGATAAAAGAGAATATGAAATAATAAAAGAATATTCTCCTAAATATAATACAAATGAGTAGATATGATTATATTCCAACAAGAATCTCACAAAAAGAAGTTTGAAATTAATAAATTGAAAATAAAAATTTATACGAAAATGTATTGTTATTTGCAAGTTGAGTATTGTCAAAACTTATTAAAGTGTTATTATCAAATCTGATTTAGAATTTAGTAATCTCAAGCTTCTTTTTGTGGGATTCTGCTATAAATATATTTTCCATGTTGCTAAAATAGAACATCATTTATCATAATAGGCCAGGCTTTATGAAAGGAATGCCCAGTTGGAATAAGCTCTTGGATATGATCTGATCATGCCGGCCCTCTTGTGCTTAGGGATCAAGTTGGGCTTAAATTCTCCTTGGCCTACTAGACGAATTTTCCTTCTTCTTCTCAAGTGTGCCAAAAGAAGTTATTTGTTCTGACCATGCCTCGTCCTTCTTAGTTCTCATTTCATCTTCTTTCATCCTATCTGTATTGCAAAAATCTTGACTAACATATCAAAATGAGTTGTCATAAACCTAAGATAGTTGGTATAATTGCGAAGAAACGATCGATGTGCCCAAATCTCAGCATCTATTTGACAGCACAACGGTTTGGACCTGTTTTGAATGGGCCAACCGGGTTTATTCTTAAACGGGTCCACACTTGGGCCCTTTTAGTCCGCGAATAAGAAGAAAATTTCTGGTTGAAATTGTGACATACAGAAGTTTCACTCTCTTTGCGGTTCATTGGAGTGTTGAAAAAGTCACAGAACTAGAAAACAAAATCATAGACCTTGAACATTGACTTAAGACTTAACAAATGCGCGTGAGAAGCTTGTAAGGTGGAAAATGGGTGATGCTTAAACAAGATGGTACGTGTCACTTTATTTTATTTTCTGCCAGCCCCTTTCATGGAGTCTTCGCCAGTCGTGTTCCAAGTCAACTGCGTATGAAGCAGTTCGAGTAGGTGATGTATAAATGGGAAGACAGGTGAATCATAATTTAGGGAGACTCAAGATTTCACAGTTTAATTTCTTGCTTGAGGATGGCTTCAGTTTATGTGTTTCACTTTCACTTCATCCAACTTTTTCACTTTGTACTTGTTCTCTCAGCTGGGTATGGAAATGGGAAGCATGACGACAGGTGTCCTCCATCGTTTGATTGTGGAAATCTCGGGAGCCTCCACTTTCCTTTCACCAAGCATGAACTGAAGCACTGTGGCCTCCTCGCAGTACGTGGCTGTGATGATCCATCTCTGAATAAAAAGATTCAACTGCAGAAGAATGGAAAACCATTACAGCTTACTAATGTTGTTCAGCAGAAGAAACTCATCATCACAGTTTTTGACCCAGATCTTCATAAAACTTGCAAAGTAGCTTCCGACTATAACATGCTTCTTCCTCAAAATTCTTCCTTGGCTTTCTTTCGTTTCAAACACGACGTCGCAAGCCTGTTCAAATGCAAACACGACCTTCACCTTAGAACCCCCCCTGATCATGCCTGTCTTGACTTCGATGTCTTTTGTCACGACTTATCACCACACATGCGTTCTCCTTATCCCCCAAATCTCGACCAGATGCAAACCTATTTGGCTGATTGCTTCATTCTTCCGCTTTCTTGTAAGAACCTGACATGTGCCACAGATTTTTCATCATTCTTATGCGGTGAGGTAGATATTGAAGTGCAAGTATCTGATGCTTGTGATGAGTGTTACAACCAGAAGGGAGGCCAATGTCAAGTTGACGGCAACAATACCTTCCACTGCGCCATCATAAGCCACAGAGGTATATATATATTTTGGGTGTACCCTTCAGGATGACCTTGTCTTTTTTTTTTTTTTTTTTTTGAGACACACACTCCCACACACACACATATATGTATATAAAGTTCAAGTTATTTTCCTGTTATCATTGACGCAAACTTGATCGGCTTCCCCATATGTCTATGGTGAACATTATATATCTCTTGGCTTTGATGATTACAACTGCGGACATTATATTATAGCCTTCTTCTCTAAAGCATTGACAAATTTGATGCTGACGATACTTTATAATTGCTCAAGTGCTTTCTGACACCTGATTTATTCTCCATCTCGAGGTGCAGAGGACAGGCAGCCGAGTTTGTGGTTTGGACTTGGGATTGGAGGTAATGTTGTTATAGTTATCTTTTAAAAGCTTTTTAAAGATCCTGTCCATCATACTGCTATGTGAAATTCACAAGCATTCCTTCTCTATTGTTGTTGTTGTTCAACCTTCTCATCATTACAATATTGTAGCAAACAGTTTCAACTGGGCTTATGAACGAAAAAAATGGATGTACTTTTCTGGTGATGAAATTTTGACCTTTTTCCTCCCAAAAGAATTTGAATCACAATTTATTGTACAACGACTGAAATATATATATATATTTCTTTAAAGAAAAATAGTATTTACTTAATACTCCTCTAGTCCTATTTATAGAGTATAGAGCAGAGAGAGAAAACTTTTTTTGGTCCTATTTATAGGGTATTTAGAGAAATTTTTTATATTGACGTATAATTTTATTCTTATTTATTATTGTGTTGACTTTGTTTATATGAGGTATAATATATATTAAATAGGGATAAAATTGAAAAATTGTTAAATTTTAAAAGAGAGTTAATGGGGTTTAATGTTTTTCTTAATTTGTATGAAACATTGAAAATGACATATAAATAAGACTAGAGAGGCATATCTCTAGTTAATGATAAACCCATCCCTATTTTCATACTATTAAGAGAAGATTTAGGAAGAATTAGTATCTTCGGCACTTTTCATGAGCAAGGTGAACAAGTTACAAGATCATCTTCACCTTAGTTTTCAGGTACAATGGATAATAATTTAGAAGTGGTCACATATAAAATGGGATCGATCTCGTATTCTGCAGGTTTATTGATCGGACTGATATGCTGTCTAATCATAATTTGGCGGCAACGTAAGCAACATAACAAACATAAACATGCGTCTTCAAATGTCCAATTGCAATCAGCAAACAGTGATAGAATTGTTCGTAATACTGATCTAGAAAGTGGCATGGCTTACTTTGGGATACCCATCTTCTCTTACGAGGAGCTTGAAAATGCAACAAATAATTTTGATCATTCAAGAGAACTTGGAAGTGGAGGCTTTGGCAATGTTTATCATGGTAATAATGCTTTTCTTCAATGAAACAATACAGACCATTACATTATTAACTGACTTGTATTGATCTTCAATAACCAGGAAAACTTCGAGATGGACGAGAAGTTGCAGTGAAGCGACTATATGATCATAATTACAGACGAATAGAGCAGTTTATGAATGAAGTAAATATCCTGACTCGCTTGCGCCATCGAAACCTTGTGTCTCTCTATGGCTGCACTTCCCGCCATTGCCGAGAACTTCTGCTTGTGTATGAATATATTCCAAATGGAACCCTTTCCTATCATCTTCATGGTGAGCTAGCCAATTGTAGTTTACTTCCATGGCCGATAAGAATCAAGATAGCCATAGAAACTGCATCTGCATTAGCCTATCTTCATGCTTCTGACACCATTCATCGAGACGTCAAAACCAACAACATCCTCCTAAAAAATGATTTCTGTGTTAAGGTTGCTGATTTTGGGCTTTCAAGGTTGTTTCCCAATGATGTCACCCATGTTTCTACTGCCCCACAAGGGACAGCTGGCTATGTTGACCCAGAATATTACTACTGTTATCAACTTACCAACAAAAGTGATGTGTACAGCTTTGGGGTTGTGCTTATTGAACTGATATCATCTCTGCCTGCAGTGGATATCACAAGGGGTAAAGATGAGATAAACTTGGCAGATCTAGCTATGAATAAGATACAGAACAGTGCACTTAGGGAGCTAGTTGATCCTTGTCTTGGTTTTGAGTTAGATAGTGAGGTTAGGAGGATGATAGTCTCAGTTGCAGAGTTGGCTTTTCAGTGTTTGCAAAGGGACAAGGAATTGAGACCTTCCATGGACGAGGTTTTGCGGATACTAAGGAGAATAGAGAGTGGAAAGGAGGAAGAAAATCATGTAGAAGAAGTGGAAATCCATGGCGGCGTCAATGGCATTTCATGCAGTGGCCTAGTACTTTCACCATCACCACTTTCGCCAGATTCCGATGAATCTATATTGTTAAAATCTACAAAGTCACTGCCTCCGGCAACCAAAGCTCGCACCATAAATGTTATTAGTACCTAGTTAATGGCTTATATTTATTTGTTAATATATGGTCATATCCGACAAAGTATACTAATGGCGAGGCCGGCAGATGTAAACATTTTAAAGTACATTTTGTTTGTAAAAATAGTTTCAGTCTTTTGTATTACTATAAGATTAGGAGTTGTACTGTATGATAAATAATGCAATTTGTCGAATTTTTATATTTTATATTTAGATTAGTGTAACTAATTCGAATTAAGTGGAAGGAATACGTACATGAATTTAATGCTCTTCTCAAGAGATTTTTTTAATTATTATTACACAATACTACACTTCTACTTAAAAGAGAACAAAGTAAACATTAATCCACAATTATGCTTTAACAAGAATCCCACAAAAAAGAATTGAAATTAATAAATTTTAAATAAGAAATTTCTACGAAAAAATACTGTCAAAACCTAGTAAAGTGTTATTATCAAATCTAATTTAAAATTTACCAATTTTAAACTTCTTTTTGTGGGATTCTCCTTTAAGTATATTTTCAATGATGTTAAAACAGAACATCAATTAGCATAATGGGCTGGGCTTTATTAAAGCAATGCCCAGTTGGAATAAGCTCTCGGATGTGATCTGATCATGTTGGCCCTCTTGTGCTTAGGGATCAAGTTGGGCTTAAATTCTCCTTAAGCTACCAGACGAATTTCCTTTATTCTCCTCAAGTGTGCCAAAAGAAGTTATTTGTTCTGACCATACCCTTCCTCTTGTCCTTCTTAGTTCTCATTTCATCTTCTTTCATTCTCTCTATGTCGCATAAATCTTGAGTAACATATCAAAATGAGTGGTTATAAACCTAACGTAATTGTATAATTGCAAAGAAACGATCGATGTGCCAAAATCTCAACATCTATTAGACAGCAAAAGGGTTTGGACCTGTTTTGTGTGGGCCAAGTGGGTTTATTCTTAAACGGCATCCACACTTGGGCCGTTTTAGAAGAAAATTCCTGGGTGAAATTGCAACAGGCAGAAGTTTCACTCTCTTTGCGGTTCATCGGAATGCTGAACAAGTCATAGAACTAGAAAACAAAATCAAGGACCCTGAACATTGACTTAACAAATGCGCGTGAGAAGCTTTTAAAGGGTGATTGGAAATTAATTAAGGTGGAAAATAGGTGATACTTAAACAAGATGTTGCGTGTCATCATATGGCCATCCTACGCTTTATTTTATTTTCTCTCAAGTCCTTTTCATCGAGTCTTCCACGGTCATATTCCAAGTCAACTGCGTATGAAGCAATTCGAGTAGGTGATATATAATGGGAGGACAGTTGAATCATAATTTAGAGAGACTCAGGATTTCATAGTTTTAATTTGTTGCTTGGGTATATGGCTTCACTACCTGTGTTTCGTTTCCTCTTGTTTCTTCACTCCGTACTTGTTCTCTTCGCTGGGTATGGAAATGGGAAGCATCGTGAGAAGTGTTCTCCATCCTTTCAGTGTGGAGATCTTGGGATCCTCCGCTTCCCTTTCACCAAGGATGAATTGCCACACTGTGGCTTCTTCGCCATACATGGCTGTGACGACCATGATCCATTTTCGGATAAAACAATTCAACTGCGGAAGAATGGAAAACCATTGCTGCTTAAAAGGTCGTCCCTCGTCAGCAGCATCATAACATCAAAGTTATTGTCCAAGATCAACCTGAGCGTTTCAAATCTCAAACCTGTGAAGTTTTCGACCATGATGATGCAGATCTAATTCCTCTGAATTCTCCTATGCCTTCATCTCAAATCAAATCCAATTTCACATGCAACCTGGAGCATGACATGATGCGCCCCCATGCTGTCCTGGCTATCATGACTATTGTGACCAGTTACTGGTGCTCCTCGTCCTCCTGACCTGGCACGAGCTCTCTCCCAGAATGCTCCACTCTTCGGCGTCCTTGCAGCATGTCCTACACAAAGACTTTTGGTTCTCATGTGGTGCAAAATGCTCCACTCTTCGGCGTCCTTGCAAAGACATGTCCTACACCAAAGACTTTTGGTTCTCATGTGGTGCAATAGTTATTGAAGTAGAATTATCAGTTGATGATGACTGTAACAAGTGCAACCACAACGGAGGACAATGTCTAGTTGACGACAACTATAACTTCTATTGCGATACAGGTGTGTGTGTATATCTCTCTCTCTCTCTATATATATATATATCCATACACAAAAACACGCACTCCAGCAACATCCCTTTTATCTATGCTTTCCTTATATATGATTAATTCCTTGGCTTTTTTTATTCATTTATGTGACTTGCTCCTTGTTTTCTGCACAAATATTCTTGGTATAAATCTAGTGAGAATCCCACGGATGCAGACACTGTGTCTTTTGAGTATTATTTCTTTTGGTTTTCTGGTTTACCTTTCAGCATGGCCTATTGCCCATTTTTAACACGCACGCATATTCAAGTGATTTTCCTCTTATCATTGGCATAAACTTGCCTTAGCTTTGATAATTAGAACAGTGGAGCCTTGACAAATTTGATGCTGATACTTTATATATAATTGCTCAATTGATTTTTGACACATGATTTATTTTCTCATCTCGAGCTGCAGAGAAGGAGAACAGGCTGCTGAAGTTGGGGTTTGGACTTGGGCTTGGAGGTAATCTTATAATTTACACTTTAAAAAGCTTTTAATGATCCTGTCTGCTACTACGTCAAATTCAATCAAAATTTATCTAGCACCGGCTATAAAATATATTTTTTGAGGAAAAAAATAATGTTTCATTAATATATCCAGTTAACGATAAACCCATCCCTTTTTATGCTACTATAGGAGAAGATTTAGGAAGAATTAATATCTTTGACACCTTTCATGTGCAAGGTGAACAAGTACTTAATTACAAGATTATATTCAATCTCGTTTTCAGGTATAATAAACTATAATTTAGAATTAGGCACATATAAAGCGGGATCTCGTATTCTTGTGCAGTTTTGTCGATTGGACTGATAGGCTGTTTGATCATAATTTGGCGGCAACGTAAGCAGTATAACAAACACAAACACGCATCTTCAAATGTCCAATTGCAATCAGCAAACAATGGTGGAACTGTTCGTAATACTGATCTAGAAAGTGGCATGTCTTACTTTGGGATACCCATCTTCTCTTACGAGGAGCTTGAAAATGCAACAAATAATTTTGATCATTCAAGAGAACTTGGAAGTGGAGGCTTTGGCAATGTTTATTATGGTAATAATGCTCTCACACACTATATACTTTCTTTTTCTTCAATGAAACATTTAGATTATTAATTAACTAGTGTTGATGTTGGACGAGAAGTTGCAGTGAAGCGACTATATGATCATAATTACAAACGAATAGAACAGTTTATGAATGAAGTAACTATCCTAACTCGCTTGCGCCATCGCAATCTCGTGTCTCTTTATGGCTGCACTTCCCGCCGTTGCCGAGAACTTTTGCTTGTGTATGAATACATTCCAAATGGAACTCTTTCGTGTCATCTTCATGGTGAGATAGGCATTGTAGTTTACTCTTCCATGGCCGATAAGAATCAAGATAGCCATAGAACTGCATCTGCATTAGCATATCTTCATGCTTGTGACACCATTCATCGAGACGTCAAAACCAACAACATCCTCCTAGAAAATGATTGCTGTGTTAAGGTTGCTGATTTTGGGCTTTCAAGGTTGTTTCCCGTTGCCGAGAACTTTTGCTTGTGTATGAATACATTCCAAATGGAACTCTTTCGTGTCATCTTCATGGTGAGATAGGCAATGTAGTTTACTTCCACTTCCGGCCGATAATCAAGATAGCCATAGAAACTGCATCTGCATTAGCATATCTTCATGCTTGTGACACCATTCATCGAGACGTCAAAACCAACAACATCCTCCTAGAAAATGATTGCTGTGTTAAGGTTGCTGATTTTGGGCTTTCAAGGTTGTTTCCCAATGATGTCACCCATGTTTCTACTGCCCCACAAGGGACACCTGGCTATGTTGACCCGGAATATTACCATTGTTATCAACTTACCAACAAAAGTGATGTGTACAGCTTTGGGGTTGTGCTTATTGAACTGATATCATCTCTGCCTGCAGTGGATATCACAAGGGGTAAAGATGAGATAAACTTGGCAGATCTAGCTATGAATAAGATACAGAACAGTGCATTTAAAGAGCTAGTTGATCCTTGTCTTGGTTTTGAGTCAGATAGTGAGGTTAGGAGGATGATAGTTTCAGTTGCAGAGTTGGCTTTTCAGTGTTTACAAAGGGACAAGGAATTGAGACCTTCCATGGATGAGGTTTTGCAGATACTAAGGAGAATAGAGAGTGGAGAGGAGGAAGACAATCATGTAGAAGAAGTGGAAATCCATGGCGGCGTCAATGGCATTTCATGCAGTGGCCCAATATTTCCATCATCACCACCTTCGCCAGATTCCGATGAATCTATATTGTTAAAAACTACAAAGTCACTGCCTCCGGCAACCAAAGCTCGCCACTCATAAATGTTATCAGTACTTAGTTAATGGCTTGTATTTATTTCTTAATATATGATCATATACACCAAAGCATGCTTATGGCGAGGCCGGCAGATGTAAACATTTTAAACTTTAGAGTACGTTTTGTTTGTAAAAATAGTTTCAGTCTTTTGTATTACTATAAGATTAGGAGCTGTACTGTGATAAATACTGCAATTTGTTGAAGTTTTATATTTTATATTTAGATAATAGTGTAACTAATTCGAATTGAGTGGAAGGAATACGTACATGAATTTAATGCTCTTCTCGAGAGTTTTTTTTAAAAAATTATTATTACTCAATACTACACTTCTACTTAAAAGAGAACAAAGTAAACATTAAACGCCCCATTTATATCTTACTCCACTTTTATTTCACAGTACTCAAATTCAATTTTTAAACAGTATACTTATCTTTTTCCTGTCAAAAAAAAAAAAAAAGCAGCATACTTGTCTTCTTTTATCTGTACTACAAGACCGAGATTTTAGATCCAATTATCAAAATTCAAAAGTATTAATATTAAACTTTAATAAAGGCCAAAAAAATATATATTAAACTTTAGTAGACTTATGATGATAATTTAACATATTATTTAGACCTTTTTATTTTTGTTTAAACTTATATGAATATATTTTAGTAAACTGAGTTTTGGTTCTTTTGGGGGAAAAAAAATACTCCTCCGGTTCTTAATATTTAATATAGGACTTAATTGCTAAGTTAATTTTGGTTCTAAATATAAAACTTATTTCTTATATTTATTAATTTTTTCTAAATTACCCACATGGATACTCCCTCAACTATAATCAAGTGAGGGATAAAAGATATTAAGAAAGATGATTATGGTGTTTTAGAAAAAATATATAATATTTTTTATAATTAACTAACTTACCTAACTTTCTTAATCTAATCAAATTAGTTAAATAAATTTTATATTAAGGACCAGATGATTAATTTTCTTCAGAAAGATTAATTGTGGATTCAAAGATCTTAACGTGAACGAAGGGGAGGTTTGAATTTGAGATGGAGAAACTTGAAAACAATGGCCAAGTAAGGACCAGACATGTATGTGTCTTGTGTCACAAGGCTTCCCCACGTCATAATGTTTCTCTCAAGCGTCTTTGACCAAGTCTTCCCCCATTCATTTTTCAGCTCAGGTTTCGTATCAAATGGTTCAAGACGAGGGGACATATTGGAGAAAAGCTTTCTCGTATAATAATTAAAAATAGAAAGTTACATTAGAGAATCAATTTCTAGGGTATAATGGCTCATTTTGAGATGATTGTGTATCCAAATTCATCATTGTTGAATTTTGAAATAAAAAATAGATATCTTTAATTTAGATTATATATATTACTTTTATCTTTTCTCCTGGATTAACCCTTATAGCTCTGATCATTTATATTGCATAAATCTTGGGAAAAAAACGTATTACAACGAGATATGATGAGCCTCGGCATCAACATTTATTTCATGGAAAAAGACCTTGGACCCGTTTTGCCTGAGCCAGACTGATCCATTGTTGAACCGGGTCACACCTGGGCCACAAGTGAAAAAGAAGAAATCACTCTCTTCCCTTTTCTTTTGTGGTCTTAGATGGTTTGATGGCCTTATTTGGTATTACAATTGAAATAACTTATAAACATATTTTTTATAAGTTAAGATAAAAAAATTTTTGCAACTTACCTCATATTCTGTAAATCACGTTTAAAAAGTTACTTATAAACCATTCTAAACAGGTCCAATAACAATTCACAAAACTAGAGTTTAAACTTTGAACATTGACTTGAAAAATGCGTGACTCACACGTCAGGAATTCAAAACAAATAGTCTTTCTGACGAATTCATTAGGGGAAACTAAGATGAAAAATTGGTCATGCTCCTTCACCGGAACAAAAGGTCTACGTAAATTCAAACTAATGACTCGTTTGGAATATAAAGTAAATATATAAGAGGAGTTTTATCTTAACTTACATAAAACGTATTTATAAGTATTTTTGAATGCTATCCCAAACAAGCCTTAAATGTCACAGGACTGCCTTCCCCTTCATTTTCTCGCAAGCCCATTTCATCCAATTCTTCCAGTCATATTCCAAACCATAGCGCGTATGAAACAGTTCGAGTATGTGATATACTGGGAAGAAAGTTCAACCATAGTCACAGAGAATCAGGTTCTTGTCCCAGTCTATAGTCTCCTTGGCGGGGAATGGCTTCGTTTGCGTGTTTCCCTTCCTCTTGTTTCTTCTCTCAGTCGTATAAAAGTGGGAAGCCTGAGAAGTGTCCCTCATCGTTTAATTGTGGACAATTTGGGAGCCTCCACTTCCCTCTCGCCGAGCCAGAACTGAGACACTGTAGCTTTATGGTAACACGTGGTTGTGATTAGAGCGGTTAATATGAGTTGAGTTTGCGGGCTCAACTTGTCAACCCCCCATAAAGTGATATGTTAGGTTGAAGAAAATAAAATTCATTTTAATGCGGGCTGAAAAACCTAGTAACCTACAACCTACATCAGACTAACCCGCCACCCTTTTTTAAATTTTCTTACAATTTTTATTTAATTTTGATAAAAATTTTTTTATCATTTTCACTTAATTTATATATAACTTTGTATTTTATTAGAGATTTTGATTCTAAATTTGATTGCTCATTTTTTTATTGTTTTACTATTTTTATACCAATAAAATAATTATTAGCATTTTATATTCAACCTTTGAGATTAATTTAATTATATAATTATATGAATATATAATAATAAGAAGAATTTGGTTTATAAAAAATTTATAACTTAATCTAAAAGAATTTTAAATATATGCATAAAAATTTTTTTAAAAAAATGGAGACCCACCAACCGACCTTTTAACAGGCAGGTTGGCCAAATATGAGCCTGTCACGAGACAGTCTTTTTAGGACCAGCTCGTATGGTCTCGAGTCCACAACGCGCTGATCCACCGTCAACCAAAACGATTCGACTGGGGAATAATGGAAAAATATTTCTGCTTAGAAATGTGGTTCAGCAGGAGAAACTCATCACAGTTTATAACCTAGAACAGTATAGAACCTCAGGAGTTTTCAACACTAACATGCCTCTTCCTGTAATAAATTCTCCTTCGGCTCCCTTTCATGTAAAAAACAACGTAACCAGTTTAGACGCAACCACGACCTCCCCAATGCATCAGCCCCCCTGCTGGTTTCAACAATCATGCCTGTCCTGACCTTGATGTCTTTTGTCGCAACTTACACATGCCTCCTCCTCCTCCTACCCGTGACCAGCAACAAATCTCTTTTAATGCTTGCTCCATTCTTCAGCTTCCTCGCAAGAACCTGACATGTATCACAGATTTTTCGTCATTCTGATGCGGTGAAATAGATATTGAAGTACGAGTATCTAATGACTGTGATGAGTGTTACAACCACAAGGGAGGCCAATGTCAAGTTGACAACAACAATAACTTCTACTGCCACATAGGTATACACACACACACACACACAGCAGCAACCTCCCTTTTATATATGCTTTCCATTCCATTACCCAAATATCGGATCTATAGTTATGCTAAAAAAATTTCATCTTAGCTTTTTCTTTTTTGACCAAGAATTTTATATCCTAGCTAGATGATTAGAATTTTGGACGTTTTAGTTATCTGCACTCCAGTCAGTCAGTATTTACAAATTTGACGCCGAGACCCGGGTAATGATTTCTTCTCTCAAGTTTAACTGCAGAGACTGGGAGTAGGCTATTCAAATGGGACCCTGGTTTGGGCTGGCAAGTAATGTTCATACTAGCGTTTTAAAGATTCTGTTTATCATCAATCACTGCTATGTCAAATTCAAAGTGTCTTCCTTCTCTGGTGTTCTTATTTCACATTCTCATCATTTCAATATTGTTGCAGACAAGGAATTGAGACCTCCTATGGATGAGGTTCTGGAGATACTAACAAGTATTGAGAGTGGGAAGGAGGAACTCAGTTGTCCAGAAGAAGGGACTAATCATGGGGTAACGGGGACTTTCCATAGTGGTATGGAACATCACCCGTCTCCTCCTTCACCGGACAACGAAGAGGCTATGTTGTTGAAAAATATATAGTCACTTCCTTCAACAAAAGACGTCACTGATAAGTGGCACAGTGGGTTAACATGTAGCGTCAGTAATTAGATAATGGCTTATCTTTTACACCACATAATAGTGATGACATGGTACGGGGATGTAAATATAAAAGGATAAACATAAAAAGCAGAGTTTGCAAACTATAAGAACTGGTTTTTCGCATGCAATAGTCAGTAAAAGTTGATTATGGTCCGCAACGATTTTTCCTGTCTTTTTTATAGCTGCTGGTTTGTTTTTACATCATCATTTAAGGATATTCAAGCAGTTACACAGAAAACGAAAGATCCGAGGCTTTTTTGTTTTTCAGTCTTACAAATGGAAAAAAAGCCATAAAGTCTTTTAAAAATGATGATTGAATTCAAAGAAAGAAAGAGAATCAGCCCATCAATTGTGTCCTGGTGAACAAGAAAAAGGACACAGAAAACCATTCCGAAAACAGATCTCGTCCTTCCCCCCTGTTTTGACTATGCCTTAAAACTTGGAAATGGAGGCTTTGTCACCGCTTACTACAGTAAAGTTCCCTCACACTGCCCAGTTCCCAACATGCTTAAAGCATGGATTTGAATTCCATTTTCATTTTCATATGCCCAATTCCATGCTACCAGACGGGTTAGTTTTAAAAAAAAAAAAAGAAAGAAAGAAAGAAAGAAATTCATCTTTTTGAGTTGAAATGCATATCACTAACGTGCTCTTTTTCTGAAAACGAGGGTTCTTCATAATCATGCTGTGCCTCAGACAAAGCATGGAGATCAAACAAACACAATCCAAATTAGAGCCCGTTTGAATGATTTATAAATAACTTTTTATATGGAATACGAAATTTATTCGTGAATATGCCCATTTCCAAGCTACCAAAGGGGTTAGTTGAAGTTTATCTCGACTTGTACGTGTTTATTCGTGAATGTGATTCTAAACGAGCTCTTACCGCATGAAACCTACATATGCCTGAGCAACTGTGGATCCTTATTCCCTTGACCAATTAACCTCATATCATCAATATCTCTTTCTGTAGTTCTCTGTTTTCTGCTCTTCTTCCCATGACTTTATTAAAATTTTATTAATTAATAGAATATTTAAAAATTACACTTTGGTCTAATCTGATTTTACATGGGGCGACAAATTATGGGAATGAGCAAAATTGCCTTCATCCATATATATGGAATTTGTCATAGTATGGTTTTTTTTCCATATAAATGGCCAGATTCGGTAAAAATGTCTTGCGGTATTAGATTTTTCCCACTAATCATATAAAAAGACATAGCTGTTTATTTTTTTCCAATGACATTGACAGTTAACGAATGTTTTATTTAATTTTTCCATTTTGACTTCACAATGAAAACTCATTACTGATGGATTTCTTTTATATTCAAGGAGTAAGATGGAGAACGAAGAGCTGTGGGGGAGTGTGAGACTTTTTTGGGTTTTATGTTTCGCATTCGGAAAAAGTCATAAAGTCCTTTTCTGAGATCTTTGGCCAAACCATTGATGATTGAATATCTGTCCTCTGTTTGAAATTATAAAGAAAGAAAGAGAAGCAATCCATCAATTGTGTCATGGGATGAAAAGGAAAAAGATCAAAGCAAACCATTTCCAAAACCGATCACGCTCTGCCTCCCAACCTTGAACTCATAATTCCCCTTGTTCCCTTTACAATCATAACTCAATTCAAATTCAAAGTCACTGAAACTCAAACAAGTACGTTTAAGAGAGCCTTTAAACATTCAAGCCACGTACTCAGACTCGCACTCAGAGAGAGAGAGTGTGTGAGAGTGAGAGAAGACTCACCTGGAAATGGCGACGCTTCAGAAATTCAAGCTTCTCGCGACGCAGTGTGGCATGACTCGGAGCCCGACACGAAGCCCCAGGACAAGCCCGATGGTTCAATTCCGCCGGCGGAAAATCACTCTGCGGATGCTGCTAAACCGCAACACAGGCCGCCAGTCACCAAGGCGGCGAAATTCACCGATTGAGAAGAGTCTTCTGTTTGGTGTGTCGGAGGTAAAGAAGAAGGAGAAACGCAAGGAACTGATGCGGCGGCACTCTTTGAAGGAACTCTTCGTGTCTTCGCCGCCAAAAGAAGAAACCAGGGAGGATATTCCGATCAGAGTGTCAGACTCCGTGGGGACGGTGGTCGGTCTTGGCGGTCCGGTTATATGGAGCAATGGACCCGGGTCACCCAAATCAGTTTGGAGGGGCTTTAGAATCCGGTTGTTGCTGAAGAGAGGTTGGCGCCCTGGGCTTGATACTGTTTTCGAGCAATAAAAATTTCACGGATCTGTAAACACTTATGTGGGTCACTGGATCATGTTTACGAATTACGATACAGTGAAGATTAATTTCAGTATTCACAAAATCACGAGTAATCAGCTTGTTCTCGCTTTATCAATTATTAACTTTTTTGTTATGAAGATGATATGTATGTAATATATTCTCCATCGGAATATTTCATTGCTTAAATAAAAACGTCCGCGTCTGTGCTTAATTTCTTTGTTTTTATTTAGAAATTGATCTATTTCTTCTTTAAACATTCCTTGACAGTATATGAGTTGATTTAAATAATAAGATATTATATTTTAAAATAAATTTTGAAAAAATTAAACTAAAATTCTTATTGTATTCATTACCAAGAATGAGAAGTTCAACTTTTTTTCTTGTGACTGTTGTTATTTGTCAAAACTGCTTGTTTTTAGGCTTCATTTTTTGGTCACAGCCTGGAGAATATTTGTGACATGGGAGTTAATGGAAAACAAATTTAGAAGTCAAGATGCTTCAGCCTATTTTCTTCACAACTCATCAAGCCTCCTATAAATTTTGGCAAGAAGAATAAAACTTTTTCTATTGTAGCAAATGATATAGGGAAAATGGCAAAAAAAAAAAAAACCGTTGAAATTAAATAATTGCATACAAGGACCAAGTCATAAAATTGTTGTCAAAATCTACACTATTTTGTAACGGGTCTTGATTTGTAATTTTTCTATTTTGACGGTCTTGTTTTGCAATTTTTCCAATGATATATGTAATATTAAACAGGGATCTTCTAAATTTGAAGATTCCTGAAGTTCTTTGAGTTTGTGAGTTGAATTTTCTTGTTTTCTGTGACATTCACTAGCGCAAAGCAAAATCAGGTTTAAGAATAGAAGAAAGAAATCCAACCCCATCCATTTTGCGTTCCAGAATGGCCTTATTTTATTCAACACCCTGTTTTTGGGTCAACACCCTGCACATTCATGTTGAATCAAGCATTTGCATCCCAGAGAAGAAATTTCAGAGGTGACCCCAACTTATTATAAATAAAAAAATGAATAAAATAAAAACGAAAAGGAGACTACAGAAAATAACATAACTCCCCTATCCGTGTCTAGATAGCTGCTCTTTATTTAAAGCTGTCTTATTAGACTCAGACGGTGATTGCCTCCACCCTGTGTTGTCTTCGAATTTTTTGTCACTGTTGTTTGGCTGCGGCTTGCTAAGGTCATCTGGTTTACGAGACCCTTGTGAGTATCCCATGTCCTGAGGTACAACACGTTGCAGAAACCTCTGTATCATCTCAAAGCTGGTGAATGTAATTACAGCTGATGGAGTTGTTCTTAGTAAATTTGTCGCACAACCCCGATAGAAGCCGGGAAGGCCTTCAGTATGGAACACCTTCCTAGAACAGTCAACAAGCCCAGCATACTGGACCCCGGCACTTTTGGCCTGGCCTTGCTCCTGCAGCCTCGCACGAATCACCTGGGAAATTGACATTAAGAGGGAAAAAAAATAAAAACTTTAAAACTACAGAGAGCTACTGCAGATGGAGATCCAACAATTGTTTTGCATATCAATTTAGCCAGGCTTAGCATACCTCATGTGGATAAGTCATTACAGAGGCAATTACTTTTGCAATTGAGGATGCAATGGCAACCTTTCCGGGGCCCAGTTTGTCAACAGTTGTATCATCTGAAGTATTTGAAATTTTCACTTAATCAGCTATGCTTCAGAAAGAGAGATTCATTTGCTCCAAGTTTAGAGGAATATGTAGATAAATCTGTGTCATCGAAATTACCCTTTTCCGCCATGTATGACTTGATCTTTTCATATGCTGGGAATTGAATAGCAACATGACTTACACCAGCCAAGGAAGGCACTATGCCACTGTTTCACAAGAACAAACTATCACTGACTCCAGAAAGAGGTAGGCCCAGCTCATCTAGCGTATTTTACTTTATTTTGCTTGAATTGTGTTTACTCTAGGGTAAATGAACGATTTCATCCTTCAAAAGTCACTCTCTAAATTTCTGGTCCTCCAAAAGCAAAGCATCTCAATAGGATTCATTCTCAAGCTCAACTGAAATCCCCACCTAATATCAATAGCACATGGCTATTAGACATAAAAGGGGTTGACATTAATGAATCAATAAATAGCATGGGCACCAGAGGTCCAAAAGAGTAGTTGGAAGAATAGACAAGGAGGACACTTGTCGTGCAGGAAATGGAGAATTTAAAGGGGTCACATGGATTGATGGGGAAGAACGTTTTAGTGAACGGTCCAGAAGGGAGAGGAAGTAACTGCCTTTCTCTTTATGTTATTGTGTTGAGAAAATTTCTGTGTGCGTGCGCCATGCTTGTAGCTCTTGTGCTACCAAGTCTTTTATCTGTAGCGATAATACTATGTTTATCTGTAACAGTAATACTATGAGCTATGATCTCTGAGTTTTGGGGAGTCTTGTTGTAGATATTTTCTGTCCATAGTGTGCTTTTGGTTTCAATATCAGTGCAGAGTTTATTTTGACATCCGACCAAGTCAGGACAAGTTACTGACAGTCGTCCAAAGGCTTTTTACCCGATCAAAATGGGCCATCTAATAGACAAAGCTCGTGTTCATTTAACAGACTTGCTGATGTAGCATTAACAGAAACCTATATGGCCATCGACACTTGCTGAGTGGCATTTCCCAAAAGTGGCATCACACTGACGGCGTCTTAGCTTTATAAAATTTGCCTAACGGTGTCTTTTTGAGGGACATGCCACCAAGCAAGCTCGGTTCATTAGTTAACATCATCTTACGCTCCCATTAGTGCCACATCAGCAAGTCTTTAAGGTTTGCTCGATGGAAGGGTCATTTTGATTGGGAGAAAACTTTTTGGAAGACTAAGTTGTGAGGCTTTACAATTGGAGGACCAAATTGAGAGGAAAGTGACAATATAGAAACTCCATCAATTCACTCTCCAGTATACCATGAGCAGGGCAGTCTGTATACATCTATGAACTTAGATTGGTATGCGGGAGACAGATCAAAGAGATAATGTGCACAACAACGAAAAATTATCAGCAAACATGCATAGTTTATGCTTCACTGTTAATTTTTTACACATTTATCTAATTTTAAATAACACTTAATTTACTGTCTTCTTTCCCCATGAACAGATGTACCAAACGAGGATACTTAGCAGCCAAAGGCTCTAGAAGATCCCCAGACATTTATTTTTTATTAGATAGTACAATTGATCAGATCTTCATAAGCATGCGGTTAATAAAAATAGTATTCATTATGTTTAGCTAATCAAAATAAGATTCATTACATTTTTTAAAGGAAAAGAATGTAATATAAGCAAACATTACTTCATCAAGCTAAATAGTAAATATTACAAGTTGGAGGTTGTAGGGTTGTCCCACTTGTGTAACGGGCCATTAGTGCCAGCCCCTCTAATTTAACCAAGAAAAAAGACAAGAAGACAACTACAACTGAAAAACTTACCTATACAGCCCTCGTATGCCTTCCTCGTGCATTATCCTCGTCAAAGCAGAAAGAATGCTTTTGTACGGAACAACGTCAGACCTCATTCCTTGCGTCTGATGTGTTTTGGGGGGAAAAAAAGAATCAATCAATGCCCAAAATAGCAATAAAAAAAACCATTTTCAAAATGATGTTAGGTAAAAAGGAGTAAGAAAGCTAAGCCATTGATTGCACGACGCATATGAAGATTCTGTTTCCAAAGTCCATCCTGAAGTAATGGCTTAGATTTTTTTTTTTCCAAGGGGAAAAAACGACCCAATGTACATATAAGCAAAATGAAGAAAAGGGAAAATCGAGGAATTGGCCAAAAGCAATCTTGAACTACACTACTTTGATATTTTCATCTACTTCCCTCAGTAGAATTCTAATTTCTTGGCTAGATGAAGGTTTTGCAGGAATGATTTTAATCACCAATGATTTCTCATATGAGGATAATTTTCAAGGCCTTGCATCATGCTTTTACAACCCACTTTTCCTTCATTATCTTAATATATAAGAAGAAGGGTTACTGCTAAACCAAACTATCTTTGGAATTAAAAAGAATCATGATAAAACTTGGCTGATACTGAAGATATGGCAATCCTAGCATGTACCAATGAATATATAGATTTAAAAGAATAAGAATTTATGATAAACAATTTCATTGAAACTGAAAGACTTACAGGCAAAGGGTAGATACATAATTTAACTCCAAAATATTAAACCATTAAACAGCTAGAAATTAGAGCATAAACAGATTTTCAAGCCTAACCATTTAGTTGGGAAAGAAAATACTACAGGTGCAGCCAAGGAGCTTAAAATTACATGCAAAGAAATAAGATATAGGGGACATGTGCATGAAAGATTGAGAAGCAATGATTGTGAGCTCAAAATCATAGGCTTCTTTTTATATATTTTAACTGCAATTACATTTACAGGCATGAGAAGCATATACTTACTTGAAGTCTGGTCTTAACAACCCACAATGGATTTGTTGAAATTGCTGTTGCTGCCCCAGCACCAGCAGCAGCTACCATATTTTCAACAGTTGATAATTGGCGGCAACTATCTGCTGCAGTACTACCAATGAAGAATGTTATAAAAATAAAACCAAACTGGAAAAGAAAGCTTGATTGAAATAAATCACATAATTTAGTAGTCAGCATTTAAGAAATTCAAATGAAGACACAATGCCTGTGTGTAGTGCTCAACATTTGCATAATATTTACCTTGTGAAAGGAAAAGGCCTTTCAGTTGACCATAAACTGTGAAGTAAACCTACAAATAAAAACAGTATAACTTCTACATTTCGAGAAATATGAAGAGCAACTATAACAAACACATAACGGGATGCTATAGGGAAGACACTTCATAGTCTAATATAATGAATATTCATCCCTCAACCACATACTTCCGAAAACTCATCATGATGCTGGTAGCAGCAGTTAATTTTCAAGTGACAAATTTCTCCAAGACAGATGTGCAAAAATGTTTATTCCTCCAGACCCAACAGTCGCATGGAGAAAACTCAATATGGCGCTTTGTTAAAATAAGGAGCATATGGAGAGGGGGGGAGCTTTAAGATTAGGAAGGATACCAAAAACTCTATTAAAAAAGCAGATGCATAGTTGTAAGCAGGTGGGTTGAAATCGATTGTTAACATTGAAGTATGTTAAAGAGGGGAAGGACAAAAGACTAACAAGTACACCCTAAGTCCTAAGTCACAGATCTTGCATTTTTTTGTTATGATAATTATTTATAAATATTCATGCGAAGAATAAAGATGTAGTTACTATCCAAAAAAATAAATAAATAATAAAGACGTAGTTAGAGAGCAACAGGAGGAGAAATGCACCGCCCAGTTTGGAAGTAATGCTATTATTGTTGGGGAAAGGCCACGGTAAATTCCCCTGAAACCTTCAGTCCTGATTATATTCCGCAAGCTTGTGACAATAAAACTACCTAGGAAATAGCACACCTCAGCTTGAGGAAAATCCAATAACAAATGATTTATTAATGCATATTTGAACAGTACTTCCAACTTATATCTACGACAATTCTCATAGAATAAAATGATCCAGCACCAGCTGCAGAACGTACAACCCCAGCCTTTTTTGAAAGACAGGAAACACATGTTTATCATATATATCGAAGTCCCAGATTTTCAAAACCAAGATTACTTCTCTATCTTGTTAATATTTAACAAGTTAACGCGGAACTATTGTCTTTGAGCAATTGGACAAGAAACACATGTTTATCGCATACATCAAAGTCCCAGATTTTCAAATCTCAACCAATATTACTTCTCTATCTTATTAATATTTAACAAGTTAACGCAAACTATTGTCCTTGAGCAATTGAGAATTAAATTAAGTGAACCAACTTAAAGAAAAGGAATTTTAGCATGCCTTTGTGCCCAGGAGGAACGCCATGAACTTGTAGTCTCGTCTTGATTACATCCAGTGGACAAACAAATGTAGCCGCTATAGCCCCTGCAATGCGATCAAGTCAGTCCTCTAGTAATAAATTTAACACTAACACTCGAACAAGAAGCAATACAAATCTGTGCCTCAAAAACTTACAAGTCACTATTTAAATAAGTAAATGATAGGATAGACTTCGAGTGAAATAACAGAAAAGTAGCTTTCAGCGATTGGAATGAAAAATGAAGAAAACAACATAAAAGCAATAAAACTGAGCTCAAAATTGAGCAAGGATCAGAAGCAGAGTAACTTACCAGCAGCAGCTCCAGCACCCGCGTTGCAGATGACATCTCTGGCGCTTTGCTTACCACCATGAGATTTACCATTACTACTCATATTAAAGAAAACAAATCAATGCAAAATTTTCCTAACAAACCGAAGTAAATGCCTTGATAATATCTCAAAACGAAATCGAGTTCTCATGGCAGATCTTCAGAATGGGCTACTTTTATACGAACCCTGCAACTATTGGGGTGTCGAACATCCCAGAAGACGGGCTATTCAATTTGCTGTTAACTTCTCCGAAGGGTTTATTGAAGCGATGAATCGGTCTAAGAACGATGTGGGCGCGAACAAAACGGCTTGGACTGGGAAAAAGCCTAAGAAATTCATAGGAAATCTAAGAGACGAAAGACGATGTAATTTGACAGAATGTTTGCGTTCTCTTTCTCTCTATTCTTCAGGGTATTTGTTTTCATTCTTTCCCAGAGTACCTGATGCTAAAAGGTGCGGACTTGACTGTTGGTCATGCTCTCTCAATGTTAAAGCAGACGTTGCTGCCAAATTCGTGGACCTTTCTTCGTGAAACAGATCATTACATTCTTGGTAAGCATAACCGTGGATTCAGGGTTTAGACTTTGGAGAAATGAGGCGAGGCGGTTAATGTTGCCGGCGAGTTTTAAAAGTGGGACCACATGGTCAACCGGAAAGGCGGCAGTTCTCGGTTTTCCTATTTCAATCGCTTTAACAATTTTTTTCCCAACAAATTTAAATTAAAAAAAAATCAATTAGTATAATGTGATTTGTGTTTAAATTAGTATTTATAAAAAATCAGTTAAAAAATAAAACTCATTTAGATGGTTAATAAAAAATAAGTTAAATGTAAAATAATTAAAAAAGATATAAACTTTATTAAATAGTAATGTTTTATATTATGTGATATTCATGTAATAATTTATTTAGCTTCCTCAATTTCTTCAAATTAATTTATTGGGGCCTTATGTTAAAGAGTAAAAGTAGTGTATACTTACGTATACAATTTTATAAATTCAAAAAAAATAATTAAATTTTATTAGGTAACTTTTTTAGAAAAACTATTAAATTATTGGATCAAGATAGAATCCACTTAAATACTATTATCTTTCTTTTCATTTTTATTGTTTTCTCTGTCCTTGCTACCAACTAAAAAGGCTCAAATTTTAAGTTTTGTTTGTAATTGAATTTTTCTCCAAAAGCTCATTTGAGAAAAAGCTAATTCAAACAAGTATCATTATGAAAATAAGCCACCAATGCTGGTTATACACTATCCTATATACATTTGGAGTTGCAAACGACATTCCAAACACACATTATAATGACTATCCGAGAAAACTCGCTTGGTCAGATGGTTAAATAAAGGGTTGCCAAGGTGCGCACCCGCCTACCTGGTCTCGGTTTCGAGCCCTCACCTGTCAGTTACCTACGGGTGCCAGATACCGGGTGAATTATACCCTAATTAAAAAATAATAATGACTATCGTAAAAAAAAGATAAATATAAGATATAAAATATATTGAAGTTTTATATTTAATTCTAAATTAAATGGTAAACTAACTCTTATATTAAGTATCAAAAATATTACTGATTGGTAGTGAACTAGCATAATAATCAAATAAAAATAATATTAAAAATAATTAGATAAAATAAAGATTTCAATTTAAGTGAACAAGTTGATATGTATTAGTAACTCTGATGTTTAATATAAGATCTTAAAAAAAAAAAACTGAATTACGAAGTGAACCTCATTTTAGGGATTGGAATAGTGACATGTGTCCTAGACCTAGACTAATAAAATTCCTAAAAGTAACTAACTAACAATTCAACAATCAATATAACACCATATGACTAATAAAAACTCAACGTATTACGCTAATAACTACTACTCCTAGTTTTCAATATAAAGCTAGTTAAAAGATTATATTGGTTTTAAATATAATATCTTAATTTAGTTTGTCTCTTATTTTTTTAAATATTTTTATTGATTATAAGATGTTATAAAAAATATTTCAATGCATATAATTAAATAAGATAATTTAGAAAGATCAGCACACATTTGTGACAAATAATTAAGTTAACTAATTTTTTTAATATACTCAAATTAACATGATCATGGTATAAATTTTGTAACTTGTCAAGCTGATGAATATTAATTGAACCGTAATACGAGTTTTTTGAAACGCACATGCACCGCAATGAAGGTTTTTTTTCCTTTTTTTTTGGGTCCTAGTAGAAGTAGATCGGGGCAGGTGAAACATATATTTAAATAAGTGGCTTTTCAACCAATTTTTAAAGTTTTTATAGAGGTATTTGCCATTTTTTTAAAATCCATTTTCTTTTTCTGGGCATCAATTTTTTATGTTTCTGTTCAGGGCCCAATGACGATTTTTGACCAACAATGGTTTAAATCCAATTCAAAACGGTCCAAGGACCAAAAAGAGAGCCATTACTGAGGTGGAAGGTGTTTGTCTTAACTTTTTGGAAGAAACTTTATTGTGTTTACGATAAATATGTAAAAAAAAGTTTTATCTTGACTTGTGTTAAAATATTTTTTTAAATGTTTTTAAGGATTTTCAAACTCCTCCTCCAACTAACAATGTGGGGAAACTGTGATTGGATATAGGTTTTTCTTTGTAAACTTTTCACTATCGTATATGATTGATGTTTGTTTCAAAGACATGTTGAAGATATGAGTGTGAAATAGAAGGTGGCTTACAAACTAGGAAAAAAAAATACCTAAAAAATTTCTCATTATAAAATTTATTGCCTAAAAGTATCTAAAAACACGAGTAATTAAGTGGATGTAACTCATTTTCAATCGATGTGACTCCTTTTTAATTATGGCCAACATAACTTCAGTTTTGTATGAATAATTTTCAAAGTAAATGGACAAATTTACCTATTGTAATATAAAAAAAAGAACACTAAACACCATAATAAAATGTTAGATGTAAAGATACCTACAAACTTTTTAAAACAAAACAAAATTGCCATAAATTTACTGCCGTCACTTTTAAATGGTGGGCCCCATATTGTTGTTACTTTTACTCAGCCTAATAGAAAGATGGCAACTCAAACTCCTTTCATGTTTCAATCCAGTCACCATATAATATTTATTATTTTAATAATATTTTTAATAATTGATATTCTCTCTCCTAATTACTCAATATCCACTTCCCCTTCCTCTCTCATTCTCCCATTTTTCTTTCAATGACAATGCCCATACCAGCTAGGAGCTTGAAAGAATGACCGAAACGGTGAAAAGAAGAAGAAGAGAAGGAGGAGGATGAAAGCTACTACGCATGGCATCTATATGAAGTTAGTACAGAGCGGCTGCCAAGAGAAGGATCATAGGGACGACGAAGAAGGAATTAAAGAGAGGCGGGAGAGAGAGAGAGAGAGAGATCCAAAAAGACAGTAAACCAATCAAGGCCTTCACAACCACATGCTTAAATTAGAGAGGAGAGAGAATGGTTATAGAGAGAGAGAGAAGGTTAGATGAGCTTTTCCTTTCTTATTGAAAAAGAGAAAGGGAATAGGCATAGAATGTGGGACATGTGTTAGGAGGAGAAGAACAAAGAAAAGATGAGAGGAAATTAGAGTTGACTCATGCGACAGATAAAAATAAAAATGAGATTCAAGCATTTAACACTAGACATTGAGTGAGACCCATTAAAAAAAAAAAAAAGTAACGGCCATTTACAAGGGTTAACAGTAATGACATTTTGGTTTGTTTTAAAATGTTCATAGGTATTTTTGCAGCCAACATTTTATTATGATGTCTAATGCTCCTTTTTGACATTACAATAGTTAAATTTGCCCATTCACCCTATTTTTTATTATTTTTATATATTTTATAATAGAGGTCAAGTATTTATTTATTATATCTACATTATAATTAATAAATGGTTGTCACCTTTTAAATTCATGGACACATATTATAGTTTGTACCCACTATTATTTTTAAGTTAATTATATCTTCATTCCTTTCATGAAGCAGATTTAAAATAACTTTGTGAATATTAAATCATTGGTCGTACTAGATGGGCTCTACATCGCATAATGTGTGCGCAATATAACCTGGCCCTTAAAAACTGGACTCTCACGAAGGGCCCATGGAAGGGCAAAAAATACAAGGGCTCATGGAAGGCCCATTTAAGAACCAATCCATTCACATTGAATTCAATGTGGACGTGACCACAAGTTAAGAAGTTGATTGATTCCAAAAGAAATATTTCCTCCGGTCTTAAATGTAAGACCTATTTTATAGTGTATATTGTATTACAAAATGAGTGTTATTTTTAAGATGGGGGAGTAGAATAATTTGGGTTGGGACAAATGGTTAAGAATTAGACAGAAAAATCTTATTTAAATTTTTTTCCCCGTATGTGTGGTTTTAAAGTTAGTTGTGTAGTTGGATTAAAAAATTCACAGTTAATAATGACAATGCAATTATCATCTTGGTTGGACTTCTACAATTCTATTAGTACCCCTAACATTCACTTCAAATATTACTATTATATCCAGTGTGATGGTGGTTTTCTTTGATCTTTACCATCTTAACCTTTTTTTTTTTTTTAATATTATGGTTGTGATTTCGAACAAATGCGTTTTATTTCTGATATAACTATAGCTAAATTCTTAAAGTCATACTTAAGAATATCCAATCAACTCAATGGCTTGATTTTTCTCTATTACTTTGAATAGCATAAGGCTAAAATGAATAGTAAAATTCATACTAAATTAGAGCAAACATCAAATTGAGGTCAAATTTGATTCGTATTAGGGGTGAGCAACAAACTCATTACCTGCTAGCTCGCCTATGGCCCATGAACTTGTTGCCCATTTAAGCCTGCCCAATTAGCCCAAATAAGATATTATAAACGGGTGGGCTTAAATGGATGGGGTAGCCCATTAAACGGGTTGGGCTACGGGCAAAGTATTGGACTACTCATACCCGCCCGTTTAAATTTTAATATTTTAAAAATATTTTTATTCTTCATTTAATTGATGGTATTGTTTCTCATCCATCTTTTATCAAACCTTTATACTTGTCTAAGTTTTTATTTTATCTTTTAGGTGAAATTGGAATTTTTAAAGTTTATGAGACTTTATGATTGGTGACTACTTTTATGATTTTATGAGACTTTGATTGTTTGCGAATCTAAGTGAGGTTGTGTAATTGAATATGGTTGATGTTATTTCATATTTGATTTGTTATTTGGCATGCAAAATTTATTGATAACTTCATAAGGTTACATATACAAAATAGCTATACTTAAAAAAATAAATGGGTTACCTCGTAACCCAGTTAGCCCAAATGGGCTGCCCCGTAGCCCATTTAATATGGGCTAAATGGGCTACTACAGGGTTATGGGTTAGCCCATACTCATGAGTGCGCGAAGGTTAGCTCACCCTGTCCATTGCTCAACCCTAATTCGTATACACTCAAATTCAATTTGACTGCTGGTAAATAACGACAAATTTGAATTTGAACAAAATGGATTCCTAAATGTTGATTAATGAAGTTAGCTAATTTTGAAAATGTCATTGTCCACAATCATAAATGACTTGTTAATG